ATTATTATACTAGTGTCAAATATTACTATTCGAATTTTATTGAACTATGTGAGTGTTAGTATTCAAATATAAGTATTCGAATTTGATTGGACTATTTGAATATCAGTATTCGAATTCTATTGAATCATTCAAATATTCCTATTCGAATTTTATTGAACCATTCAAATATTAGTATTCAAATAGAAGTATTCGAATTCTATTGAACCATTCAAATATTAGTATTCAAATAGAAGTATTCGAATTCTATTGAATCATTCAAATATTACTATTCGAATTTTATTGAACCATTCAAATATTAGTATTCAAATAGAAGTATTCGAATTTTATTAAACCATTCGAATATCACTATTCGAATTTTATTGAAATATTAAAAATCAGTATTCGAATTCTATTGAATCATTCAAATATTACTATTATAAAACTATTACTATTATCATACTAGTATCAAATATTACTATTCGAATTTTATTGAACTATTTGAATGTTAGTATTCAAATAGAAGTATTCGAATTTTATTGAACCATTCAAATATCAGAATTCAAATTCTATCGAATCATTCAAATATTACTGATTCAGTATCCTAGTTTTAGAATTATTATTCACATGTTAATATTCGAATCGAACTATTCGAATGCCTGAACTATTTTTTGATACCATCATTATTCGAATATAACTATTAGGTGATTATAATCCACAAAAATTCCAAAGAATATTCAAGCGTTAGTTCCAAGGAAGTAATTCTGATATAGAATAACGAAAAAAAATTATTTCCCCGCCATTACTGCGTCCAATGAATTAGTCAACACTGAAACTAAACGGTAAGTGGCTGACCTAAGGGACAGGGGATGTCTCCACAAGGAAACGTAATTTGAAACTTTCATGAAATCAGTAAACTTGACAGCAGTTTTCTACAAAGAGGAGGGGGGCATGACCCCTGGGGGGGATGGTGGACGTTTAATTATCTGGGGAGGAAGTCAAATATTTTTTCTATTAATACAAGAAAGACTAGGGAAGGGGGTCGTTGAATCCATCTAGTCGCAAATTTCTAATCTTCCAATAAGTAAAATATTTCCAAAGTGTCCAGAATCATCGAAAACCATAGTTTTCAAATAAGTTTCGACAGAAATGAAAAGTAATTTTTTCGAACGTCCTCTAAATAGAACACTGGTATTAGAACTTCTATCCATCCGCGATATAGAAATATTTTTTTTTCAAGATTGGGGGAAATCACTAGATTAGAAACTGGCAGTTTCCAGGAATTTTCCAATCATTTTTCATACGCAGTACCGTGAAAGATTCGATAGCATCGATCGAGAGATTATAAACTCGACGACGCAGGAACGAGTATTGTGGGGAAATTCAAGGGGAGCAAGGAGGGGGCGAAACGAAAGAAACTTCGAACCAGCAGAGCAACGATGGGAAAGGACAAACGAAGAAACAGCGAACAATGCGGTACAACTAGACCGTGCGAAGCGTAATATTTCTGCCAGCTGGAACAGCCCAGTCCGGCGATCCTTGACACGACTTCCACCTACTTCCGGTAGAGATTACCCTGGCTCGACGTTCCTCAAAAATTCCTAATGTCGAACGCGTTTCGTTCTAATCGATACACCTAATCCTGCCTTAAGTTCTTTAGGAGTTCTTTGGGAATTTTTTCAAGGGAACCGGTAAAAGTTTTTTGAGTAAAGTCCAAATACCAATATTTAGATCCACTCTCGAAGAATGGCCACAATTTTTTTCGTACAAAAATATTCAATATTTTAGAAGCTATGATAATTTTAGTAAAGGTCTCAAGAAATATATATCCTGGTTCTGTCTTAAGTTCTTTAGGAGTTCTTTGGGAATTTTTTCAAGGGAACCGGTAAAAGATTTTTGAGTAAAGTCCAAATACCAATATTTAGATCCACTCTCGAAGAATGGCCACAATTTTTTTCGTAAAAAAATATTGAATATTTTAGAAGCTATGATAATTTTAGTAAAGGTTTCAAGAAATATATATCCTGGTTCTGTCTTAAGTTCTTTAGGAGTTCTTTGGGAATTTTTTCAAGGGAACCGGTAAAAGATTTTTGAGTAAAGTCCAAATACGAATATTTAGATCCACTCTCGAAGAATAGCCACAATTTCTTTCGTACAAAAATATTGAATATTTTAGAAGCTATGATAATTTTAGTAAAGGATTCAGGAAATTTATACCCTGGTCCTGTCTTGAATTCTTTGGGAGTTTTTTGGGAATTTTTTTCAGAAAACCGGAGAAATATTTTCACGTCGAGTTCAAATACAAATATTTAGACCCACTCTCGAAGAATAGCCACAATTTTTTTCGTGCAAAAATATTGAATATTTTAGAAGCTACGATTAATTTAGTAAAGGTTTGCAAGGCCATTTTCTCTCTCGACGTTGTTGCTCCCATTTTCGAATATCTAAAATAATATAAATGTTTCTTTCGAACGCGAATGTTTTTTTAAAAGTCTCTGAGATTTGTCTCTGATAAAAAGATCGAGATATATTAAAATTGTATTCCCCGCTTTTGATTGGCGTTATGCATAAGTAGTCGGCATTTTCGCGACCTTGGAATCGCATTTGCCTCGATTTCCCTTTGCAACGCGTGTCCAGTACACGCCTCCGAGGCCCCCCAAAGCTTTATTATCCGAGACTCCGGTGACTTTAAACGCTCTCAGACCTTCGAAACCTCCGTACGCCTCGTTAGTTCTTCCGCATCTTGAATATGCATCCAAGATTTCGAACCCTTTGCGACTTTGTCGACGCCGGGCTCCTCGAGAGTCTTCGACCAAGATTTCTTTCAAAATTGCCAGACTTCTGGACGCTCGTTGATCGATTTATGTCAGAAAAAAAAACACACACACGTAACTCCATAATGAAATAATAAAATATCGAATCCCTCAATTCCTGAAAATCCACGACGATAAAATTCACTTTTCGCGTTCGTGTCTCCCCAATAAAAAAGCTAATATTCGGGTGGAAAAAAACGAAATTTACAACTTGTTTTCAACGTGTTAACGCGATCCCTGATCCCACGACTCGTGGCGCTCGAGCACATATCGTTAAATAGTAATGAAACGACGGCGATGAAAAGTTTGGCGCTGTCCCAAACTTCCGTTTTATTCGTATCGGATTAAGATCGAAACGTCTTAAACTGTTTTCGCTAACCTCCCGGCCATCCAGTGCCAAATTTCCCAAATTTGATCTCGAAAACACAAATTCCTAAATTCCTAAATTTTTCGACGAAAAAAAAAATTTCAAATCGTTCTGGAAAAATTATTTTCGGTTGCGGGGGTCAATTATAATCATTTTTGGTCATTACACATACCCCCGAAATCCTACGCACTTTCGAGAAAAAAATTCCTAAATTCCTAAATTTTTCGACGAAAAAAAAAATTTCAAATCGTTCTGGAAAAATTATTTTCGGTTCCGGGGGTCAATTATAATCCTTTTTGGTCATTACACATACCTCCGAAATCCTACACATTTTCGAGAAAAAAATTTCTAAATTCCTAAATTTCTCGACGGAAAAAAAAATTTCAAATCGTTCTGGAAAAATTATTTTCGGTTGCGGGGGTCAATTACAATCATTTTTGGTCATTACACATACCTCCGAAATCCTACACATTTTCGAGAAAAAAATTCCTAAATTCCTAAATTTCTCGACGGAAAAAAAAATTTCAAATCGTTCTGGAAAAATTATTTTCGGTTGCGGGGGTCAATTACAATCATTTTTGGTCATTACACGTACCCTCGAAATCCAACGCATTTTCAAGAAAAAAATTCGAGAAGATGCCTAAATTTTTTAACGAAAAAAAAAATTTCAAATCATTCTGAAAAAATTATTTTCTGTTGCGAGGATCAATTACAATCATTTTTGGTCATTACACATACCCTCGAAATCCAACGCAATTTCGAGAAAAAAAATTCCCGAATATTCCTAAATTTTTCGACGAAAAAAAAAATTTCAAATTGTTCCGGAAAAATTATTTTCGGTTGCGAGGGTCAATTGCAATCATTTTTGGTCATTACACATACCCTCGAAATCCAACGCACTTTCAAGAAAAAAATTCCCAAATTTTGATGAATTTTTGAATTAAAAAATGATACGAAACTTGAAAAGATTGCCGTGATATTCAAATTTCGATGCTGGTGAGAAATTATTTTTTTTCCAAATTACACGATACGTTTCGTGGAATGATTATTATCGTCGATTGAGTTCCGTTGATTCTTTTAATTTCGTTGGGGGTTGTTTGTATATGGCGGTGAATTTTTGACCGGATAAGAATCCCGCCCTGCGGGGGAACGTAATACGCGCGACCGCGTCATTTTACTCCGGCTGGTTCCGCCGTGTTCCTTTCGGGTCTCTGTACACGGAAAATTTAATAAAGCGCGGCCCGAAGGAACGAGGAGAGAGGAAAAAGAACGGAACACAGGGAGAAAGGAGTCGAGGATAACTTGCCACGGTAGATAAAAGGTTCCTCCCTGCAACCGGAGCGTAATTATAACGCGCTCTTAGAGGACGCGCGGGAAGGGCTAACATTTAAAGGATATGTAGGTCAGCCACTGACCCGCCTTATTGCAACTCCCGACCCGATCACCCCAAACGGAGCCCCGAAAATCGACCAAACACGAAACTACAACGAATATTCATTTATACATTCACTTATCCGGGGACCTAGCCACCATTAAAAACGAACGCTAAATAACTAAATTATTATTACACTAACAGACGACTATAACAGGAACTATAAACCAAATTCTCCTAACCTCTGAGATTATAAAAAATTAAAAAAAAAAATTAAATTTTTCCACGTTTCGGTATCAACGTTTCACTAAAATGCAATTTTCTTTCCAATTAGAATTAATATAAATTGCTAATAATATCGTGCGTTCTATAACTATGAATATTAAAATCTGAAAGATGCCCTTAAATTTTGCTTTTAAAATTAATTTACGAAAGATATTTTTTAACGAACATGGAAATTGGATTGTTTCAGGAGGCGTATAGAAAATGGGTGTGCAGTTCCCTGGTGCCTTACTTTGCTCACGGGGGACCGCAGGACTTGGACACATTGGAGAACAGCTGGGCCGGAAGCAGGCTTAGGCCCTGTCGGTCCTTCTGCCAATCCGTGGAGCAACGTTGTCCTTACTTGCTTCCGGGCGACCGTGCCCCTGCGTACCCCACGCAATACGCCGGTGAACCCACCTTTCTTTGCAGAGGTAATCGATCTTGTAATCCACCGTCGATCCACTGTAATTATTAGGGGCCCAACGAGATCGAAAACCCTTTATTTTTCACCCAAACTATTACATTACTACATCAGGGGGCCGATCTATCCCACCCGGATAACTGGTATTTCGCAAAAAGTCATGCGAGCAGCTTTGAAATCGAGTAATCTCGAATTACAAGAATTATTGTCCTAGCAGAGCACTTATCGCGGAGCTATCAGCACGATATAAATTGTAATTATAATTCATCATACACTATGATCATATCGAGAAAATGTTCACTCGACACGAGTCTATTTCACTCGTTCGTTTGTCGTTTTTACAATGGGATCTCGAGAAACTAGCTACGCAACAGGCGAGGTGGGAATACTTAATCTCCAAAAAAGTAATGGCGGTTCGAGTCGAATATTTAAATTCCTGCTCGTATGACTTTTGTCGAAATATATTATTCCCCCGTTTGCAGGTTCAAAACCCACCGATTCTAAATATTTCTCGATGCATGTTTCGTGTTCAGATCGTTGTTAAGGATATTTATGAAAATGTTAGGGATCTCCAGCGCCATCGAAGGAGGGTAAAAATATTTTCTGGCACCCTCTTGACTCGTAAAAACTAAGCACATCGTGAGGAGAAAAGGAAAATCAGCGTCAAATAAAGAATACGATACCGCGATCAGATTTTTGGGAGAACTGGATATTTCTTTTTCCCCTTTAACGTTCATCGATAATCGACGCGTAATTTCGCCCGGAAAATGGAAAAGAGACAACGATGTTCCTTGTTTCGAGTCGCGTGCAAACGAAAGGGCAACGTACGAAACAAACTATCGACCATCCTCGACTTCCTGGACAGGTATTAGACAGTTTCCGGGCTCTAAATAAAATTTATGCCCGACGGGTCATCGGCCATGTTTTCCTAACCTCCTTGTTCCCAACGCGATCTAAAATAATCCTCGCGGAATTATTTTTGCACGTTCATAGGCAAAGAAATTTAGAAACCGAAAATCACTGTGAACAACGCTTTAGTATTAATTTCCAGAACGCGATAAGTGTCCACGATACAATGACAATTTATTATTCATCGAATATTTATCGTCTCGTATTGGAAATGAGTTTAAGTGAAATTCGAGAACTATTTAGACATTGAAAATTATTTTTGTTTCGAATCTTGTATAACAAGCACGTTGTATTTGAACGGCGTATAGGGAAATATATTACACATAGTTATCCACCAGAATATGCGAGATAATATGTTAATTAAATATGTAGTGTATGCAATAATACGTATTCGATGAATAATTAATTGTTCATCGGACTGAAATTTATTATACATTTTAATGCCCGCGAAGCTGTTGATGGAAATATTGTTCTTTTGTGAAAGACACTTGCCATGCATCCGGTAATCCGTATCAAAATTCACTATGAGGGTGCAACGACACGTGTTTAAACAGAGAACACTTTGTTCGGTGGATTTATGAATTATTTAGAATCTTTGAATAACTGATATTATTCCCGTATCGAAAACACACACTCTGTGTGGTTGTACGTGCCACAACTAATTTTTAAAATTAATAGAAATTAATTAATTAATCTTTGAAGATTAAAATATCCCCAAACACTTTCACGATAACGAACTTTATATTCAATTTGCACACACAAACTTCGACTCGAGCACTGAGAGTATTAAAAACGAAAAATAAGAAACTATGTAACACACACACTCGAACGAGATAAATTCAAAACCAAACGATCCACTCTAAGAGTAAATATAAAAAAATATTAACGTAATTGTAGCAGAGACAATAAACGACACATATATTTTAGGTTACGTTTAATGCACACGGCGCGTACCGTTGTATACATCGTACTGATTCTGCGCAGTGTTATACTATACTAAAAGAAAACGACAGCACGCCTGCCAACGAGGTAAAAAGAATGAGAAAAATTTCCAACAGTAATTAATAATAAAAATAACTATTCAAGAACAACGAATAATCAAAAGTTGCTTGATTTAGTTTCGAACTTCTCTTTCGTTTCTATAATTTCTTATTCGATGGAATTAAATTCAAATATAACCTACAATACTTTCGCGACCGTTTCGATCCTCGTCTCTTCTCCATTTCACCACGCCAAATTCTGTTCTCGAACAACGAACAACCATTTTACAAACTGTGGATTCCTCGATTTCAATTAACCAGTCTAAAAAGCAAAAGTCGATTCGTTGTTCGAGGAGAGAATTTGTTCGACGTCGTTTTAGCAAATAGTCGGGGTCTCAGGTCGTCTAGAGTGCGGTGAATAACGAAAGACGCGTTTACGGGGAACGAAAACGATCCTCTCGAACGTCAGAGACACCGGATCGTTGGAAAACGAAATAATTTCAGATCCAAACATCCCCGAGACCGGGGAGCAAGCCTCGAGGGCGTTGCATAGCACCGACGAGGACGAGTGCTGCTTCCACGTGTGCTCCGAGGAGAAACCAGGATCAGGCATTTGCGCGAATTGCACGGATCGGGAGCCACGGAAGCGCGGTAGAAGCCACGATCCACCAACGGCGCCCCACTGCGAGATTAATCCTATTCAACCGGCTTCCACAGGTATTTAGAAATTTTGGAAAATAATTTTTTGCTCCTCCAGGGGACCAAAGAAGGACTGTTCGAGACAGCAATTTTTCTCGATCAAAAATACTTAACGATTGGAAAAGTTATTCGAAAGTTGCCACCATGACTGTATTCTTACCGAATAAAATGATTTTAGATTCGCACACGTTTTTCGGTAACTTCTACAATCGTTACTATTTTTTATCTATATTTAGAGTGTAGACGAGGTATACGAGTAAACCTTACGCCTTATGGATCAAAAACGAATTTTTAAAAAAAATCGACAGGTGTTAGGTGCCTAAATTTTTCGACGAAAAAAAAAATTTCGAATCGGTTTGGAAAAATTATTTTCGGTTGCGGAGGACAATTACAATCATTTTCGGTCATTAGACATATACTTGAAATTCTTCCCGGTTTCGAGAAAAAAATTCGAGAAGGTATGCCATTTTTCGACAAAATTACAAACTTTCAAATCGTTCTGGAAAAATTATTTTCGGTTGCGGGGTCCATTACAATCATTTTCGGTCAGTAGACATATACTTGAAATCCTTCCCGGTTTCGAGAAAAAAATTCGAGAAGGTATGCCATTTTTCGACAAAATTACAAACTTTCAAATCGTTCTGGAAAAATTATTTTCGGCAGCGGGGGTCATTTGCAATCATTTTTGCTGAATATACATACCCTCGATATCCTACGCACTTCCGAGAAAAAAAATTCTTTACCGAAAATGTATACGTATAGCCCCCAGAAAAATGGGCGGAAAAAATACATTGGATGTAAAGTCTACTCGTGTACGTCGACTGTCTAAGGCAGCACCTGCTAGAGCTTACCAAAGAATCCGAATCCCCCTATTTCTTACTTCTATGGCTTCACCTCTCATACTCACTGCCAGAGGGCTACGCTCTGGCAAGCACAAGCACTCGACTGACTACCCAATATATCTCCTTGCCCGAGACAAGCTTTCCTTTCCTTTTCCACCGGCAGAGCGCGCCACACTTCCACCTGAAATACCGAACAATAATTTCGTCAGCACGCCTAGCGATATTTTAGGAGAGCCCATGACGGAAAGGTGGTTTATTCGATCCAGGTGTGCAGTACCCAGACTCGACGTCCACGAGCGGCGAGATCGACGGCGAGGGCGAGGAAGCGGACGGTTCGTCGTTGCCGTTGTTGTCGTCGCTGTGCGGCAGCGACGGTTTGGACACGGTGTCCATCGTCTCGTCATCCGGTCGATCGTCAGCCTCGATCCTGCCGCAGCTCGTCTGTCTGTGCTCGTTCCTCGGCGGCGTCCTCGGGAACGTCGGCACGGTGGCCGTACTCTGGATCGCGCGGCTGTTCCAACGGCCGACGGACGCGAAACCGGAAATCGGCACCGGTAAAACGGAGCAACGGACGACGACGAAGAAGAGGAGGAGGGGGGACCTTGTCGTTGGGTGGTTGCGCCGTTCCGGGGCTCGGTGTTGCGCGGGCGTGCGTCACGGTGCTCGGTGGATGCTCGGGAAGTGGGTGATGGTCGAACGCCGTTGCCGGGGCTGGTGGTGCTGGTGCTGGTGGTGGTGGAGGTGGCGACGCCGGAAATTGCGAGCGCGTCGGGGATCGCGTCGATGGCCGGTCGAGGCCGCCGTCGGCTGTCCACGTACGGCGTCGGTACGCTGGAACGTGGACGACGCTCGCGGGTGCTCGTCGACGAAGTGCTGTTGGCGACGATGGTGGTGGTGGTGTTGGTGGTGGTTGTACCGATGGCGGTGGCCGCGGCACGTGGTCGAGAACGATCGAGGGGACGGTGGCGGCCCCGAGGCACGGGGAGAGGCAGCGAGACGACGCACGCCGGCGAGACAACGTCGCCTCGGCTCGTCCTTGAGGAGGGATCCGCCATAGGGGTGGCTCCCTGGCGAAGCGCGTAACGCGCGAGACGCAGCTTTTTTCTATTCGGGGTTTACCGGAGCCCCGTCGAGCAGGACTCCGGGTATATACCCTCCGGGCGATTCCGGGCCCTCGAGAAAGGGTCGCGGGGACGGCACAGGGGGCGCGGACGTGGCGGGCGAGCAGCGCCACCTGGAGCGGCCAGAGAGAAACGGATAGCAGCGCCGCGACACGGAGGATTCGAGGAAACGGGGAACAGGAGGCGAGGAAAGTTTTTCGAGAGAGTGCGAGAGTGTGTGCGTGCGAGAGAGAGAGAGAGAGAGAGAGAGAGAGAGAGAGAGAGAGAGAGAGAGGGAGTGAAAGAGGGAGAAAGGAAGCACGACGAAGAATTTTGGACATCGAAGACGGACGAAGACGCGCCGTGGGACGCGGTTCGGGTCTTCTGGAGAGGCCGAGAGGACAACCCGAGGAACCGTGGCGAAAAACACGTACGTCTCGAATAATAATGATAACAATAATACAATAATAATTAATAAATTAAAATAATAATGACGATAACGACCGATTATCACGATGGTAACGATGATCAACGATGATGCCGATTAACGATGCTGATTAATGGCCGTTCACGAATAACGATGATAACGATGATGTTTTATGACGATGATTATGCCGACGATAAAACGCTGACGCTGATACGCTGACGATGATTATGATGATGATGATGACGATGAGAGATAATGAATTAAAAAAAAAAATAATAGCTAACGAATATTAATAATAATGAATAATGACATAAATAATAACGGTTAAATAATGAAGTAAAACGACGATGATGATGATGAAGAAAAAAACGATAAAAGTAATGTTAACATAAACGATAGAATGATTACAATACAACTATTATTATACATTCAAGTACGTCACATAAGTACACACACGCATACACACGGTACCAGATACAAAACGGGCGATAGGGAAGGGGAATCGGTGGAGCGAATGCGAGGTTTATGGCTCGGGGGAGAAGGTAGCGGATACAAGCGAGATGCCTGCACGCGTGCAAAAATTATTGAGGAAAAATGCGACACGCAACCTATACACACGCGCCACACAGACACGGACACACGCACACGTACACACACGCATACAAGACGTAGGTAAATAGTCTTTTGGTCGTGGAATAGAGGGATACGAGGAAGGGAGAGGGAATACGGGAAGGGGTGGGGGCAAGAAATTTTTTGCAGAAACGGCACGAGGATAAATAAACACGACGTTATCGAGGTATAATATGTGTTCGTTTAGACCTTACAATAAATAAATAACTATTATATTAATATAGACACGTAACGATACCAGATAATGAAGAATATGCATGAGAGCGTGGGTGGGAGAGCATGTAGGAGCGAATGAACACGAGGAGCGCGAGTACGGGGATAACGTTGATTAGATTAAAAGGAGAAATCGTAGCAAATCGACGGACTTTTTTTATAGAGAAACAAACGATTCGTTCCCGTGGATATATTGCGAGAATAACGATACGCAACAATGGAAATTACTTTCTTCCGTTGCCCGGTGCTCTGTCGCGCGCAGTTCGCGTGGCTTCGACTTCGCGGAACGGAAATATCCCGGTGGAAAGCCGCGAGGCGAGCGTAAGAGGTTCGAGAGACGCGTCCGCCATCTTGGTATATGCGCGAGGCGCGAACTCGTAAGAACGTTCGATTCTCGATCGTAACGAAGCACGCGATTAATAAAACGCGTTACACCACTTTGTTGCTTGTTGTCGTTAAATATATTAGTTGATTATTGGTTATAACGGGAACCAGTTGCTCTTAGGTTTCGTTTTAAACCGTGGAATACGACAAGGATGTTCGAGGACCGGGGCTGGGCGAAACAAAACAGAACGGAGGGGAAACGAACAGGGCGATAGAGGACAATGGAGGGAAAGTAGCTTACAGAGGGGAAAACGTATAAAAGCGCTCGAGCTGGCGAGGTCCTCGACGCCGGGGAACAGAAGTCGAGGCAAAAAAAAAGAAGGGGGGAGAGAGACAGCGAATCGAAGCGGACTCGGGGCAAGCGTGGGTGCCGTGTTTGCAATCGGAGAGCCGGAACGATCTTATCTCGTAACCGGAAACGGTTAAACCGTCCCTGTTTCGTCCATCGTGTAGTATCCACCCACGCTTCGTTTCTCGAGACTCGTTCCACCCGGTGGAAATTTTTATTTACATCTTTAAGAAATAACTGTTGGAGATTTGTGTTAAATATTTGTGGCACGCTGTAGTTTGGTTCAATGTTAATTTATGTCGTTTATCTGGCGTTGACAATTTCTCGAGGGAGAATCATGGCACGGCCTAATTCCACAAAAGTTGGCCAACCTTTTAACCAGTTTCTACCACCGTGTTGCGTATTGTAGATATTTATATTTCGTTTATAATTGAAATCCGAGTTATGGCGGGCATTTTTCCAGTCGTTCGATCTCTCGAATCGTTTCGTTTCGTGGAGAATTCGAGAACCGTCGTTGCTCGTTGCGGTGATGGGGGGAAGGGTAAGCGAAGAGAGAAACGGGAGAGCGAAAATCGAAGCCACGAAGACACCGGGGCGCGCGGGTACAGAGGGATGGCAAGGAAGAGAGCCGGAGAATCGTCGTCGTCGTTGTTGTCGTCGTAATTGCAGGAAATCGAGCACGAGAAGCAGAGGGGGCGTGTCCTACACAGGCGCACACGTACACACGACACACGTGCACGCATACCCACAAGGCATTCACGCGAACACATACGTACACACAGAGAGAGAGGGGGGAGCACACTCGTGCGCGTTAATTACGTTGTTAAACATTGTCCAATACATAATTGTTACTAATTTACATTTATAAGACGAACGAGAGAGAGAGAGAGAGTGTGTGGAGAAGGAGATATATGTATATAGCGAGTGTGCGCGCGAGAGATCACGTGACCGACTGAAAGCGAACGAGGAGGGGGTAAAAAAAACGAATGTTTATCGCGATGAACAATATAGGGAGTCGATGACGAAACCATATAAATATTATAAATATATAAATATATACAGAAATATTGTGACGAGATCGACGTTCGCGCGATTGTGTAAATAGTATGTATTTATATAATATAATATGTGTACGCGCGCGCACAAACGTACATATACCTACTTTTGTGTGTGTGTGTGTGTGTGTGTGTGTGTGTGTGTGTGTGTGTGTGTAAATTAGAAGGAGAAGTGTGTCACGACGAGAGAGAGTTTAGTAACAGATTATCCCCTCCCCCCACCCCCCAACAAAAACCAGATGTCTGCGATCGATTTCCGGTACGATTTTTGCGCTCGAACGAAATGGACGATTCGCCTGCCGCGTGCGTCGAAAATAACGAGAGATTGCGAGTGAAAAAGAGAATGTGTGCATGTGTGTGTGTGTGTGTGTGAGTTTGAACGAGGCAGCCTCGTCTCGATCGAAGCCACGATCAGTTTTTTCGCGGTGATTTTTGCAGCATGGTAGGATCACGAGTCTTATTTTATTGTTTTCCAGAGTTTTGGAAAGGCGTACCCAAATATTGTTGATCGTTGTTAAAAGCTCCAAATTTTCCCGCGTTTTTGTCATTCAATTTATCGATCAACGATTTCTCCATCAGGGGGGATCCCGAAACGATGAGCGAGGATATTAACAAATTAAGTGTTAAATTTGTATTGTAGTTACGATTTCGAGAGTGATTTCGAAGAGTGGACCTATCGATCCGCTGTTTAAATATTTGAACCTATAACCAACACAGCCCCCATTGTGTAAATTTATAAATTGCTATAATCAGACCGATGCGGTATTACGAATATCGAAACGATTCGATTTTATATTTAAACACGAGCTAAAGAAGCTTTGTTATTTATTTACGAGTCTCTTCGAAACATTTGTGGAGAAACGATTCCAAAAATTCCAAGATCGCGAATAGATTTTGAACAGAGAATTTGGTTGTTTGGCGTCGATATCCGATAGGAAGAATGCAACGGAAAGGAGTCGATCGAGGGGTCGGTGGCGTTCGTTTGCCACGTTGTTAACCAGGACGACGGCCTCGCATTTTCAGGACGACCCTCTGGATAACGCTGGTAAATCGTTCTCGCGTGATCCGGGTTTCGTTCGCCGTCTCACCGCGCTTCCTGCCGGCTCCAGAAGCGTTCTCGTTTCCCTCGTTGGCCGCGACGCTCGACTTCCGGTCGGTTTCTTCCCTCGCGACGCCCACCGGGAGCCACCGTCGGCTCCGGGATATTCCATGGACGCCCGTAATTGAACGACCGCGTCGAGGAACTCTCGAGCTTTATCGTTCCCGCTCGTACGTTCGCTCCACGAACGATAAGCGACGATCTTTGGGCCCATTAACGAAAAATAGAAGGAAAAAGGGCTTTTAAAACGACAGTGGTGTGTTTCGAAGTTGGATCGGGCATGATTTTTCCCCAATTTTCCGAGTTTTCTTAACGTTTCCCGCTTTTCTAGGTTTTCTTTCCATTTTTCATTAATTTTCCTCGCATTTTCTAATGAATTTTCATAGGATTTTTCAATTTTTCACGACTCTTAGAGGATTTTCTATTGGCTCATCAATTTCTACTGTGAATTTTCATATTTTCCAGTGAATTTTCATCAAATTTTCCAATTCTTCTCTAATCTTAGAGGATTTTCTATTAACTCATCAATTTCTACACGAGGGTTTTCCTATTTTCCCGGACAGTTTTCACGAATTTTACGTTTCCCTATATTTTCATCGATTTTCCCGGATTTTCCTGCGAATTTTCATCGAATTTTCCAATTGTTCATGACTCTGAGAGGATTTTCTATTAGTTCATCAATTTCTACACCAGGGTTTTCCTACTTTTCCCAACGGTTTTCACGAATTTTACGTTTCCCTATATTTCCATCGTTTTCCCAGGATTTTCCTGTGTATTTTCATCGGATTTTCCAATTGTTCAGGACTCTGAGAGGATCTTCTATTAACTCATCAATTTCTACACCAGAATTTTCCTATTTT